ACTCACCATGCCTCAGGTGAACAATGTCAGGTCCGGTGGGGGATGTGGCATTCTGGTCTCATCATACCCACCAAGAAAGCAGTGCAAGGTGGGAACACTAGTCTCTGCATGCAGTAAGTACAGAAGCAAGAGTTGAAGTCAGGCATCCTGCAGTATATCCATATAGTAGTCTGAATTTTCTCATTGAATAGTCCCACCTCCCTTTCCCCTGTTGGCCCAAAGAGCAGTCAGAGTTCAGATTGTTCAACCCGCGTCTTTTGACAGGAGCCTTTGAGCGCACACATGCCAGTTTAGAAATGACTGCTACTAAGAAAGTAATTCCATTTTCTAAATTACTCATGAATGAATTTCAAATCTTGGAGGAAGTGTGTTGCACTAATCATTTTCTTAGCAAATTATTAACCAGGTGATGAGACAGAGCTGACTCTGTAAAGCTTTGCAGGACTCGTGTGCTCTCTTGTGGGTGCGTTGTCCTCGCGGTCTCACACCAGGGAACCTGTTGCAGCAAAATTACAGGAATCGTAAGTAATTAGTACACTGAATTTCAGCATCTCTAGGCAAAAAAACCACTGCTTTAATGGTCTTGCACATGTGATTACAGAGCATAAAAGCAGATATATTGCAGGCCCCTGGGTGAGGTGGCCACTGAGAGAGGAGACTGGGCCCAAAGCAACACCTGTGGGAAATTTCTGGAGTGAGAACACCACAAGAAGGGAGCAGGTGGGAAGGTTGTCAGGCTGCACACTCACATCATGGATTCTCTGGTCATGGCAGATGCTGGCATTCTCCTATTTCCTGCAGACATCCCTACCCAGCATTGGGTGCCTACATCTGCAGGTCATTTGTCCATGGTCCCTTCTGGAAGCAATGACAGAGGCAAGGCTTGTCGACAGCTTTCTGGAGCACAGCAAAGTGCATAACATGGTATTCCCTTTTTAACTTCAGGGGACTACCTTTAGAGACCTAGAAGTCCCTCTATAAACTTCCCATGGAGTCTGCCGCATTTAAAATTGCTGGTAGTGTATGACCAGCAATGTGACATTTGGCATAATCTTAACACAGGATGCCACATGTGCCTTGGGTGCTACCGCATGCTGGCAGTTGCTACAAGTGAACAATCACCAAAGAAACCATGTTTTGTCCTTCCCTGTCTGTCCTGTGCTACATCACTGAACCAGAACTGTTGGGGACTGCGGGCAAGGTGGATAGTCCTCATTATTTTTTAATGCACCTGGAAGCCACATCTGAAAAACACCAGCAGTGTGCTGAACACCAGCACAGCCCACAGCATTTGCCCTCCTAGCTGAGCAATGGTCTCAGTGAGTCCAGAAAAGAGAGTCAGAGGAGGACCAGCCTCACAGCTCTCACCAGCATTTATCTCCTGCAGCTGTAGGTCAGATACAGGAATGATTTATGCAATGCATTCAGCTTTAGTCTTCAGAGGTGTTGCAAGGAATGAGTTTCAGGGTTCACTTTTGAAGATTCAATAATTTATTAGTCCAGGGATCTCATCAGTATGTCTTCTCTTCTCTGGGAGCCACAGCTTTCTCTAAAAAGCCTTCCCAGAGAGAAGGAAGATCTGTAGCTGATTGTAAAGGCAATATGGCACAGAACTCAGCTGCTTCCTTCCTCTGCAGCAGCCCTCTGTAGATCCCATTTCTATCACCAAGACTTCTGCTGTCAGGAACCTTTTCTCCCATTTGTATCTGAACTTCAAACAGGCCAAGAGAAAGGACTCTGGTCTTTAAACCTTTCCAAGAGGTTGATGTTGAAAGGCTTGTATAGGTGAGGGCTAACACCATGGTCCATCCATTGATTTTATTAAAAATGTCTTTCTTTTACTTGACTAAATTTATCAACAATCCACCCAAATCCTAAAGCATGTAGCACCCTGCAAATCCACATAATGCCTTAATAACCAATAATTCTTTAGTGTGGTGTTGTCCCAAAACCTAAGTCAATCTTTCTTCTTGCAGTTCATCTGTCATGATTAAATTAATCAAAGCTGGACACACTCTGTAATTCTTCTTGCAGATTTGATCTATCTCCTTGAAAAGAGCTTTTTATAACAGCTCTTACACTATAACTGGCATTTTGTGTGTTCTTAGAATTTTTTTTCTCTGCTCTATTTATTTTATTTTATTTGGACTCTGTGAGTTTTGCCATTTTGGCCTTGGTGTGCTCACTGCTGTGACTCACGTATTCCACAGCGACTGCCAGATCTCTGGGTCCAGCACTGTAATTATCGCATTAGGATCTATCATTGCAGCCCTAATAAATAGCCGGAACAGTGATTAGAAGCGCTGATTGATCCATTCCACAGTTTTGGACACTCACATCTGAGATGAACAGAGGGGCTGTGGAAATTAAAGGTTTGAAATGTCACCATTCCAGATTAAATTAGTATTAATCAGTCATTCCAGGTGCACTAGCTGTTATACATAGTTAAAGGTTGCTGTATTGGGTAATCTGGTGATGATCAACCTAAACCATGAGTCAGATTCATCTCATAAACTGCAAAGGAAAGCCCCAGCCCTTCCTCCATGCCCAGCTCACTGGAGCCATGCAGATCACAGCAGGTGACTGGGGTTTCCTTCAGGTGAAACTCACAGTGCCCTTCAGGAGTGTGTCTTGGGCACTGCAGTCCCAGGTGGACGTTCAGTCCACAGGACAAGACTAGGCCAGGTCCAAAGCAAGAAAAGCCCTGAAATGTGCTGAGAGTGGATGCTTAGCACCAACCCTCTCACTCCACACCCAGAGGTCAGACAGCAACATGCCTCTACAGTGTCTGAGCAAAACTGAAGAACTGGCTCTGTGGAGAGGATGCTGATAGTGATGCTTCTTCACCCCACAGCTTCCCCCAGGCTCTCCCTGAAAACTCAGGGCAAGCCAGGAGCCTACAGGGTGGACCAAGAGGGCCAGTGAGAGGCTGACTGGGAGATGCAAGGTGGAGGCAGATCTTCATCATTTTGGCCCAAGGGCTGTGCTGTGCTGTTCAGAGACCAGCAGCAGCCACAGCAGACAGAATTGCAGCGAAGTCTGCTCACCATGACCACAGGAAAAACGAGATGACACATCATGCTCACCATGCAGCTCTTGTGGCAGCTTGTGACAGCTCTGAGGAATGGGCCTACCATGCTGGGCTTTTTCTTTAAAAAAACATGTGTTTTAGAAGGAAATTTTATTATCCTGGAGAGACTGGATGGAGACAAGTGAGGGCATGAAAACTTACTGGGTAACTCCAAATTTTTATGATAGCATCTATGCCTCCAGTGATGGTAGGAACATGGATGACTTTTACCCCTGAAGGCTGTACGGACATTTTACATTTCTTCAAAACATGCTTTGTTTAGGTTTGGAGCTTGACAGATATAGAATAGACTAAAGAAATGTGCTGGTTGCTATGCTTTCAGTTAGTAAATATAATCTTAAAAAATTCTTAAATCTGTGCAATTTTGTTTTCATTCTTGAATGGAGGAAAGGTTCTGTGATTTTAAAAGTTCTGAAAACTAAATTCTCTAGACTGCTCTGGGTTGGCCTTAGTTTGCATGCTGACAGCTCAAAAGCATTCATTCAAAATCCAGCAACATGGATCTGTCTGTGCTCTTTTCAAAATGTTTTTTTCTGTTCTTGTCAACACTTTATTCTAGATCAGGAATTCCCTTCCAGGGAGATCTCAATAGCACATAAGCATAGAGTCACCCTGTGTGTGATCTTTTGCCCCTAGAGAACTATTAGAAGTCATCCTATCAGCAGAGGCAATTTTGGGCAAACACTCAGCAAACTCACTCCTTTCCAGTGCATTTGGTCTACAAAAGCTGTGCAGCTCAAGATGGGGAAGCAAATTTTAATCTTATTAATATTGCATTTTGTTGTCTTCATCATCAAGGGAGTTGCTGCCAGGCTTTTCTGAGCCATACACAGGCAAAATGTAATGACTACCTCTAACTGGCACAGTCGAGAGGAAAATAGCACAATTATGGCCAACAGTAAGTGAGGACTAGGGCACACCAGCCACCTCCTTTCTGTCCCTAAATGTAGTATTTCACTTCTTTTAGTCTCCAGAATTGGGGTAATGGTACTCAGTTGCATTTCTAAAGTGTTTCCAGGCTAAAGGAAACACTTTTTAGGAGTGATTTATCTTTAACTCCATCATCACAATCCCATTTGCAGTATTTGAGGGATACTGTGAACTCGTATCTTTGAGGCTTTGGGTGATTCTTGCTTTGTGATCCTAGGTTGCTACATACCCTGTATTCAGAGATATAAGGAATCCTTACTGCACTTTTCAAGTAGTAATCTTGCCCAGCATTCAAAGTATTTCTCCACTTGAAAAATTTCTCAGGGATTTCCCACTGAGGCTCAAAGACAGTCATATATTTTATTTATTTTATTACAAGGCATGTAAGTAAAAACTTGCATATCTGAAAAAAGATATTATATAGAAAACAGTAATAAAATTAACATTATTATTTTAAGAAAATTGGTAATAAATACATTTCCCCTCAACATTAAAATGCTTGTATTTTGCACAACAATAAATATAGCATAGCTCTGACATAGAGAAAGGCCAAGGCTGGATACAAGAAGTCCATGTGGTTTCATAAAAAAGCTCAGGTGATTTATAAAGGTTTGGCATCCTGCACTTGATGCACTTTGATACAACTTGCACTTCAATTTTAATTTTACTATGATTTTTAAACAGTCCCATAATATGAAAATATGAGAGGAAAATTTGATTATAGGATTTTTCCTTTAAATATTTTCAAAGTAAGAGATGTGTAAACTCATTGAAACTAATCCTCAAAATAAAAATTAAAAAAAACCCAAACAGGTGTCTTGGTGGCTATGCTACAAAAAAGCAGTTTTTTTAGCTGTGGGTGCTCAAGCCTGACCAGCCAACTGGACCAGCCAAAGGACCAATTCTGAGTCAGTTCCTCAATTCTTTACACAGTTTAAAAAAAATAAAATATTAATAACAAGGAGAAAGAGTAAAGACAGTAGTATTCACTTCCCAGGTCATGACGTTTGAGGGTTTTACACTATTATCCAAAGGTGAGAGAAGAAAGAACAGGTGTATTCCAGAACACTTCCCAGCATAACTTTGGGTCATTCTGGTCTATAATTTTCTTCTAAAACTACTGATGGGGAAAAAAAATAAAAAAGAAAAGGAAGAGAGATATTTCCATGCACTGTGCTGTTCTTATGCCAGCACATATCATCACAATCACAGCTGTGAACCTAAGTCACTGATAGCCCAATCTAATATAGATTGATTGATTGTCCCATGACATAGTTAGGCAATGTCCACAAAATGCCACAAGGTCTGGCAGAGTCCAACGTTCTTAAAGTACCGATAGGTCATGGCAAGACTTGGACTTGAGTTTGAAGGCCATGTTCTTGTTGTTCTTGGCAACTATTTTGCCCCAAAACCGCCTGGCTTTCTTGGGGATGCTCTCTCTCCGTTTCTGGAGCGCCAGCCGCTTCTCATTCTTTTCCTTGCTGTCCCTTCGGAGCCGAACTTGCCGCACAATGCCTTCAAACAGCTCTTTCACGTTGTGCTGCACAGCTGCCGAGGTCTCAATGAACTTGCAGTCAAACACGACAGCACAGGCTCGTCCCTCTGCAGAATTGCAAGGTGGATATGTCACAGAGGGTCACAAGCCCTGAGGGCAGCGGGGGTGAGAGGAAGCAGAGCTATAATCTGCCATATGCGGGGAAGCCAGCAGTACCAGGGGAATTCCTCAAGCCTAATATAGTCACAGATAAGTCTTTAATCGCCTGGTGCTGCCTGTTATCCCATGATTCATCTGCTCCATGTCATACTCCCTTTCCAGTAAGGGGTGGTAAATCCCCTCCCGGAAAAGCTCAGCCCTCACCACTGTCTACCAAGGAAGCTGGGGCTGACTGACCTGAGACAAGACACCAAAGGCTGGGTGGTCAGAAATGGCTCAAAACCACCTGATCATCTTACATGCATATTCTCTCAATCTGCATTGAAGGATGATGATGGCACCCTCCATGCACACAGCACAGAATAGGAGGGATGGGCCCATCCTCCTCCATGGGCCACATGTGTAAACCAGGGTCTTAGGACAGTAGCCACTTTGGTGTGAACAGACACATGTACAAAACCTTTTAAAAGTCACAACTATGTCTATGGCTTTAGGGGTGCATCCAAAATCATAGTTCTTATCCTCAATTACATGAGCCCAAGCTAAACCTGACAGCTGTCTTTCACACACAAGCCAATTTATTCTGTCTTCTAGCTGCTGTGAACTCATTGCCAGGACCATTAAAGTGACATGTATTTCACTTTCAAAAGAACTTTCAAGCAGGGCAGAGAGGGATGAGAAGGTGTTCCTGGGTTCCCAATGAACACCTCAGTTCAAGCACTTTACTTGGGGCAGCTGTGACAGGAGCCTGAGGAACTGTGCACATCCCCAGAGAGAAAAAAAAATTATAGCTCAACTGGGAAACAGTAGAGCAGAACAGCTACAGAAAGAAGAAAATGCTGAGCAGAGGAACCCATATTTCTGATGGGCCAAGATGAGAACATCTAATGCAATGCTGTATGTTGTGTTGTGTCGCCTAAGCCTTGCTGTATGTTGTGTTGTGTCGCCTAAGCCTTGGGGAAGACTCTTCAAGAAGAGATTTTACTGACTGCAGATGCTGAGAGCCAGCAGCAGTGCTCCCAGCAGTGTCTCCATTCCTATGTATGGGCTTACTGGTTATTCATTTATGTGCAGCCAAGGGAGGGATGGTTTAGCACGTCAAAGTAAGGCAGTAAGGAGACATCTCCTGAAAGGCTGCACAGTCCCTGCCCAGACTAGCAAAACAAAGATCAAGAGGGAATTTCGATTCATCAGGGAGGACAGAGAACTGATTATAAAGAAGAGAATTTTTGGCAGCAGAATAAAGGAGGCTAAACACATGTGTAAACATGTATTGGGAATCCAAAAGGTTTCCAGCTACTGGAGAAATTACATACTGTAGTGGTCTTACACTAGGAGCTGGAGGAAGAAATTCAAGCTGCTTTTATGGTGGCACTTAATAGCAAAGGGATTATCTGATATATAAAGAGTTACCAAGGGAGGCTTAGGGACCTGGCAGACTCCTCCCAGTCCCCTGCCTTCTGTTCCAGTCCTCTGTTGTTTCATTGCTCTTTATTGCCCAGCCCTGATCACAGCATGCTGCCTCAGCCAGAGCACCATGGTTTGTCCAAAAGCTACTAGATAACTTTCCATATTTATGTTGGGTTTATGATCGTCATTTTCCTTACCTGCCACTGAAACTTCGCGGCACCTGACAAGGTCGCTTTTGTTTCCAACCAAAATAATGGGAATATCTTCTTTCTGGCGTGCCCTGCGGAGCTGTATTCTGAGTTCAGAGGCCTTCTCAAAGCTTGCTCGGTCTGTGATGGAGTAGACAATCAAGTATGCATCTCCCACCTGCATGCAGTGGTCTCGAATCCATTCTCCCTCACGCTGTTCAAATGAAATGGTTAGACATCATTAGGCCCAGAGTAGGTTTTACTTAGAAAGTATAGCATTAGAGAATCCAAATACATTCCTCCTGCAAACTGTAATGGGTATGGTTTGAATCACAGTTATACTAAAAGCAATTCCAATGTGGCGATGGTATGAATACTTCACCACAAAGGAGGGCAAAACTTGCCCCAGATAATTCATTGTGCTGGCTTTAGACTGGAATGACCATGGTCTGGATAAAAGCTTGAATGTTTTGTTTTATAATTTAAAAAAATGAGTAAGACATTCATTTCTCAGGCTTACACTGCAGAGCCATTAGCTGTGTGGAGGGGGAGTTAATCCTATATTTTCCATGATTTTGCTATTAGGATATTTTTTTGATATTAGGAGTCATTCATATGAGCTTTTCCTTCAGTGTTTGACTAGAACAAATTAAAATACCTTATTATCCCACATGTCGAGCAGTATAACCGTTGCACTTTCCCCATCCACCATCAGGGTTCTTTCATACGTGTCTTCTGGAAAGAAAAGTAGAAAAGTTGGTAATATATTATTTTGTGGCAGCATGTGCATTATTAAAAAAAACCCAACAAACAAGTAGTTGAATATGTGTAATTTGTTCACAGTTAAAGTTATTGAGCCAAATTTTAGTCTGGCTCACATTCAGTTCTTTCCTCATTTCCATCAGCACTAAACCTGCACTCTGTTCATTACTGGTTGTCTTACTTTCCATGATATATGATGGAGGCTGAAAGATCAGGAAACAAAATGTTCATTATTTTGGCTGATATGCTCTTTATCTTATGTGAGAGAGAGAAAATAGAACCAGTGGAAGAAATAACCAAAGGCTGAACATTTGCCCCATGGGAGCAGCAGAGTCCAGCAAGGCTGAGTAATGGAAAATATTTGCTTTCGCTTTAGCATGGACAGTTTACGGGTGAACAGTCACTGCTGCTGAGAGCAATAGAGCTAACAGCCTACCAAGCGGTGAGGACAGAGTGTTGTGAGACAACAGCTGTTGAGTTTTAGAGACTGAGACTTCTACTGCACCCTACTTCTTCCATTTCATAGTTTCCTACATTACCTTTGATGTCGAATAGCAGAAGAATCAACAAACCACAATAGGTCAGTTATTTTGCACCAAGACTACAAAAATTCATACCTACATTATAAGCACCATGTGGCAAAATTCTGCCTAGATCTGAGGAGTTTTTTTCCACTCTGAATTTTGATCAACCCTGGCTGTGAAATCTCAGTCTAGCTTCTGCTTCAGATACTAATCTTCCTACTTCTTCCCAAGGTTGGGGACATTTGGATGAGCAATAAGGGGTTTGGCCCCATTTACAGTCTTACATTACTGGTCAGCAAAAAAAGGCAGGCTTAGGACTTCTGAGCATACCAGCCCTCTCACTGCAGCATTTAAAGGATCTGTCCCAACCACACTTCTAGATATGTCTGTGTCTAACCTGTGCTTCATAAGACTCCTCCTGGGAATTAATGGAATGAACTTTCCCCTAAATTGTAATCAGAGTGTTTTCTCAAAACCAGGAATCTACATCCATGAAAAACAATGAGCCAAAAATATTATACATTTAAAATAAAATCAAAAAGAGCCCAGGCTTAGCACAACTTACAATGGTGAGATTAAAAAAGCAGACCTAGTCACTAGGAGCAGTTTCCCTTGCAGACCCAATAGTCTCACATCTGTGTTCATGAGTTAGCTTCATCTTACAGTCAGTAAGAAAGCTTGCCCATAAAAGTAGCTGTACATCCTCAGTGAGCTGGCTATCCTGAAACTATCTGCTCTCTCTTAAAATAAAATTTACAGTTTTCAGGCTAAAGTTTGGAGAATAGCTTCTTCTAGTGATCGAGCATCTGTATGAGAACAAGCTCCATGTACACTAGAGGACAACATCCAGAAGACTTCTCCACTCTGTTACATGTGGAGAAGCTACAAAAACATAATCACACTCCTTTGAAAATACTATGCCTAAATAGTCATATTCAGCACTGATTTGCACGTTAGAACATAAAACACACTGAAAGTGAGCACTTAGTTCATCTCATGCTTACTTTGAAGCTGACACTAAAAAAACCAGCAAGTTTTCCAATGCCTCAGCAGAGCTGGCCTTGAAAATCTGTCACTGCTACACTCCAAGCAACGTTGCTGAGATTGCAATGGAAAGAGGAAACCACATGAAGGAGAAGAAAACTGCCTGACAGGCATGTGCAAAGCAAATCAGCTGCGCTTTCTGACTACTTGCCCAAAGGTCCTACTCTACTTCTAGGAAAACTTATATCAGAGATACTCCAAGCTGAGGATTTGGTGGAATTATGGGAAAAGTCAATGGTAGAAGCTGAAGACAAAGCACAGTGAATTTCAAATCCCTCAAAAGCTCAAAAATCTGTATTCCCACTCTGAGATATCAAGCAGGGAAAATGTGAGTCTGACCTTCCTGATGCTGGGCTGTATTAAATCCCAAACAATACCTCTCCTAACTGGAGAGTTAAAGACAAAAGAAGCTGTCCTTCCTGTGCTCCATTGAAGGCTGGAAGAGAAGCCTAGAAACTCCTCTCTGTGCTAGCACTAGCACCATCACACCAAGGGAGTACAGGCAGAAGAGGGAAGGGATATGGGAGAGACAGAGAAAGTCCTGCATACTGACAATCAAAACCAGGCAGCAAACTGCATGTCCCCCAAAAGTGACAGTGACTGTGTCCTTAGAGCCACAGCAGATTTCTGGGGCAGCAGAACCCTTACACGTCAACATCTTGCACAAAATATAGCTTAGAACTTGGTGCCACAGCTTCACCTTTTGCATTATCTGATTTTTGGGATTACAGAGCACTTTGCAATCCTAAACAAAGCAGAGGAGGACAGCAAGGGGGAAGCATCAAAGAAAACCCTACAGCCTGTGCCTTTTCCCTCCGCGATGGGCAATAGGAATTTTCCTACACTGTTGAAGGACCTTTATCTGTTCCCTCCCCCGGGGGAGCCCATGTCGTGCCAATAACATGAAACAAGGTGGTGGCGTATTTTACTCAAGCTCCATACGTCCTGTGCTGAGGCAATGTGTTTGTACAGAAAGGCTAAGATTACATCTAGTGGCAAGTATTTTGGAGGTGACTGAAGAAGTCAGCTGTGGCTTTTCTGTTTTTCTGTATATATAATTTCTAGGTGTTTCATTCTCATAGACCATAAGGACTTTCACTTGCTTTCTCTGCCACAGAAAACTGGAGTCAGCCCCATGAAGCCAGTGGTAACACAAATGTTGGATCAGCATGAAAGCTGAAGCAGCCTCCTGTGTAGCACCATTACAGGCAGGAATAAGGCAGATTCCAACAGGTATTTTGGAATGAAATAGCATAGGAATCTGAATGGCTGTCTTTCAGGGGCTTGCAATCTTTGTTGGTGATTATCTTACTCGTCTTATTTTCCTTTTTTGTTTTATTAAAAGAGATGCTTGAGTTGAATCACTTTTGAGTATCAGATTAAAATGTTTGTTAACTCTGTTTTTTTATTAAATGACCTCTCTGTTTTTCTGTGCCAGTTACTACTGGCAGAGCTGAAAGCAAGCAAACACAAAATCCTAAGACATAACGACCTACCTCCCAGCACCTCACAGTCACTGTCGATGCTGTCATGCACCCCTGCAAAGATGTTGGCCAGCGAGGACTTCCCTACGCCGTGCTCCCCAATCAACACCACCCGGTAGCAGTTGCTGCCAGACTCGGAGGAGATGACGGAGTCGGATGACTCCGAGGACCAGCTCCTTCTGTAATATTCATCGGGGCTGATGGTGTATCGCTTCTGTGGGTTGTACTCATTGGAGTCTTTCTGGACCAGCAGGTTCTTTCCATCAGCAGGGATGCTCCATCGCTGCTGCTGCTGGTGCAGGCTGCTATTGTGGGTGCGACGCATGGTAACGTTGTTGAGAGTCATTGTTAACACCTAGTGAGAAATAGGGAAATCACAAATGTAACCCACGAAACACTTAGAAATTAGTTAATGCTCTCTTACTAATTTCATGACAGCACATCCTGCTCCTCTGTAGGGACCTACTACAAAAGGAAAAGAAAAATTAGCCTTTCTGTACTCTTCTGTACTTGCTGGCACACAAAGGAATATTTCTCATAAGTCAAAGTCTGTTTCCTAGGGCAAATACCACCCTCACATGCCGAATCCTATCTTGTTTAGTCTTTACAAGCTCACAGCTGTGCTAGGTGCAGCCCAGCCCTGGAGAAAGGAAGGCATAGCTGTGTCCCATGAGGAAAGGGTAGTGCTCAACACACCTGTCCTACACAGCAGCTGTAGCCCTGCTGAGAGGCTGCCTATGCTACAGGCTCTCAATCCTTTGCTTGACTGGAGCCAAACAGAGGAACTGTTTTCCAGCTGCCTCCAACTGCCAGTGCATCTGGGTGCACAGCATTTTTCTCGTTGTCTCAGTTAAGAGCTGAAACTTTTGGGAAAGCAATAAGACATCACTGGCTGCATACTTAGACAACCCTGATTTAAAGAAAGAGCCATGCAAACAAGTCCTGCTATGATGGTGTGGATTTGGGTGTTGTCTGTGGCCAAGCAAACAAAGAATGATTCTGACTGAGATGGCAACTTTTTGGCTGGTAAGGATGTAGTAAAGACCAACAGTTTTTCCGAGGAGATGCAGGTTGTAGCAGCTACAGAGCTATCACTGGGAGAAAAGGCTCATAAATTTATACATATTAAATCAATAACTTAATTTACTGTACACTCAGATCAGTTCACTCTTCTTACTAAGCATTGCTCTTAATTACATTTTACTCATCAAACTCTCTTATGCCTTGCTTGGAGCAGAGAACAGTGATGTCATTCTCACAAGCCAATAGATACCATTTTTAGGAAAGTTACTTTGGTGCATTCCAGCACACAAACTGACAGTTATTTAAACATTTTTATTTTTTGCCATATATCTGATGTTTCTCAGCTCTCTCCTTCATATTAGTGAAGAGGATAATTGCCCATAAAATGCACCCAACCACGTTCAGACCTGAATAATAGGCGATGAATGATAAAAAGTACAGCAAAGCATCAAATCAACACATACAAATTGCTATCCTTCACACAAAACTCTCTGAAAACTTCTGTGAATAAATGCACAGCTGGACACAGGACAAATATACAGAAAAAGCACTGTCTGAACTTAATACAGCATATGCAATATTTTCTCTGTGATGCACAGCACTTTGGGGCAAAATGAGATCATTTGCAAGGTCCTAGTCACAGTAACTTTGTTGGCAAGAAATATCTTTAAACTAGAAGTCACATACTCAGCAAAGGCTGCTTCACAAACAAGTATTTACTGAGGTTGAATTTTAAAATGCATTTTCCCTTGCAGCATCCACATTGAAAAGACCAGAGAAGAAAAGCCAGCTCTGATTCAGTCAAACAACACAGCACAGCTCTCAACCAGCAATAATCAGTCACTCACAAAACTGCCACAAACATGAACATTTTATGATTTTGCTCCTAACAGATTATTATCCTTCATTAAACAAAACCAAACGAGTCCCTGTCACAAGCTGCATTCTAAGTTCAAACTGGTTTTGGTACCCTGTACTGCATTTAGCTGTCTGGGTCTCTAGTACCTTCAATAAAGGACTGGGTCCAAACCCACTTTGCCTTACTTGTGCCAGGCTCCTCCAGGCAGTCTGGTCCTTTGCTCGTGCTGCCCTTCTCTCTCCGTAGGCTGAGCACACTGAGCCGCTCTGCTGGAGTAAATCCTCTCCTGCTTTGGGACTGCCTCTTTAATTCTTTCTCCACAAACCTGGTTTATATTAAGCCCATCTGATCAGAGACAGGGCTTTTCCGTGACGTAGTTGGCCTTTCCATACAACAGCCAGCCCCCAGCTGGGAGGAAGCAGACATGCAGAAGAGCAAAGACTTGCAAACAATCTCAAAAGACTTACTTAAAATCATATGATTATCTTAATATTGCCAGTAAAATAAACACATTTGATTCTTGCATGATGAAAACAGGAAAGTGGAACAAAACAAAATAGTATGTGCCATTTTGCCTCAGACAGTTTTTAATTCAAATGTTAACAAAATTAATGGTGATTTTAAAGCTCTCTAAGTTTCATTAATGCATGAAATTCTCTAAGTGTATTATGTGTCTCTTTTCTGTCTGCAAAACACACTTAACCCCCTGCTGGACAAAACACTTATTTGGAATAAAATATCTGAACATTATTTTGGAATGATCTTTAAAATAGGAATATTCTTGGCGGGGGAGGGAAGAAGGGGAGGTTGTTTGTTTGTTTTTAAAGCTCTAATATTTACAAACTTATTTTTCTCTGTCAGCCTCCAAGTCACTGCACCCAGTTTCCTAAACTGCACAACCAGCTCTCACTTCTACTGCAGCCCTTTACTAGCAAGTGCTTGAAAAGACATCCAACTACAAACTCAGTGTTACTGCAGCTGGATGTCAACAAAGATGCATCAGAACATGCCAAGTCACACAGTGTTGATACTGTCCATGGGAAAGATGAATATATAGTGTGCATGCCACAAAACCAGGGTCTGGTCCTGAAATTTTTATAGTTTTGTGGCTGATCGACAGAATAAATTTTGTCAGAAGGAAAACAAACCCAAACCTGTAATGTGTGCCACCAGCTGACACTTGTAGCAAGATACTTCTTGATTAACAAATGAAGAGTAAGAAACTGCCATGGAACTACTTGCTAAGAGTACCACAACTGACATAAAAGTGTATGCAAAGTCTATTCAGCTCTCACTTATCCAGACTCTGGATTAACTATGATGAGCTCAAAACCAAGTTCCTACAACTTTCTTTTTATTTACAATCTCCTAGTTACTATATCAGCCCATGAATCTAGTACAACCAATACTATTCCTCCATGTAGAACATCTGAACAGCTTCAGTTTTGAGCAATTTTTTTTCATGCTACAGGCAAGCAAGTCTTTAACTGACAATGTATCTTTATTGAAGGAAGCAGTGATAGGCAGAAAAGAATATCTCTTGCTATGACTGCATCCTAGCACATATTTCACATTCCTCTGCTATACAATTGGTTTTCTCCTGAAAAAAAAGGCCTTTATGAAATTCTTCAACTGAAATCTACTTGCTTTGTTTCCCCTTTGGCTTTATTGCATTCCCATGTCTTTCATAAGGATTTTCAGGGACCTTCTATGCCATTCTCAAGTTTGAAGAGCTAGGAGTTTTTCCCAAAGTAATAGGCACTGACCAACAGCCATGGAAATTATGCAGATCTACCAAGGATAGAATTGGGAAAAAATATGTCTCAATTTTCCTTCATCTCTGTTTCAGTGCTTGTCAGCAGCTGAACTGACCCCAGGTCCCACATCTCCACCTCACCTGTTGCTTACACATCAGGATCTGTGTCTCTGCTGCTGAGTGATAATCCCAAAGAGCACAAAGTGACACATCTCTCTCTGTAGGATGTGCAGAAGGGCTTGTAATACTTCTTGCACAAAATGTAGCAACGTCTCTGTCAGGAAAAGATTATGGTATGGGCAGTGGTTTGCAAAAATAGTTTTTCCATTGGCATACTCAACAGAAGTTGCTCAGCTTTTCAAAACATGCTGGAAATCATGAAGGTGAGTGGTTAGTTGGAGTACTGTGCTCTGCACCTCAGGTTTACTTAGCTCTCTTTAAGTTGTCTGTAATTTGTCACTGTTGAGTAAAAGAGCAAAACCTGACCACTGCAGGACTGGAGAGATTTATGGCCAGACGGGTCTCAGCAGAACTGTAGGCTCTAATGTCTCACCCAAATGTTTAACATATATCATAGCAGAAAGTGCAGACAGAAGAAGTAAACCAAAGTCAGAAAAGCCTTTGTGTTATAGTTACTGTTAGATTAGGAATTGCTAGACATCATCTTTCATATCCTCTTCATAAAATTCAAAGCAGACAAAGAAAACATGTCTCTCCAGCAACTACACAATATATCTCTTCTATAAAGCCATCCATAAAGGTTATCTCAACCACGGCACAAGAACTTGCACATGTGTTTTCCTTTGTACTGTCTCTTCTGAGCCTATTCTGGTTTTCCAACTGGACAATTAACTCAGGTCCTATTCTGTACTACTGCCTGCCTCCACATGATAAAGAGTTCTTGTTCCTGAAGGAATGCCATCAGCACCCATGAACTTCAATCACTCTGTCTGTGGGGAAAGCACTTCCTTACTTTTTTTTAAAGCTGGGAAGAGCTGCAGCGTTTTCAGCCTACTTCTACTTTGTTGCAAGGGATAACAGCAGGTTGATTCACGAAGCATATGAACTGAGTCCTTCTCAGTAGGGCTGAGTATAGGTTTGGATTTCCAAATAGAATCCCATAGATCAATGCAAGGGTGCAGTCCTGGTCTGCTCAGCCCTTTTGCACTATTTGCTGGCTGACACCTCTGCAACTCAAACTCCCTGAGACACAGACACAAGAAGAGACAAACCATAAGGCTGTGCTGTCGCAAAGTGCAAGTGCTTTAACGTAACCACCCAGTGCAGTATTAAAACTCAGAGCAATTGTTTTTACACTGTCTTATCCATTCGCTGCTTCAATAATCACATCTTAAAAGAATTCTCCCAGCAGCCAGGATGAAGTAAACATCACAGAGTAGCAGCTCTGCAATCTTTCTCCAGTCAGTTACAGTTAGACCAGGTGATGCCCAAAGCAATCAGGCAGAAAATTTCCACTGGATATAAAACAGCAATGCTTTTTAGCTGACACTTAATTAGCCAGTTTGTATTTATGTATATGAAGGCAAAGGTGTCACCTTCTGGCATAAAGGTTGTGCATAGAGAGGACCTAAATCAACTTGGAGTGAGAGGTAAATGCAAAGGGGAGGGAATCAAAATAAGCAGAAAAAACCCACCAAAATTCAGATTTATTTTTATAGAAATTGAATGCAGTGTGTCTGAAAGCGCACTT